CGGGGAACGATTAAAGATTTTTTTAGAATTCGGTTAACGGTTAATTCGGTTCGAAATCAATTAATTAACCGAATTAACTGAATTAACCTTTAAATATAATTATATTAAGAGGCCCAATCCATTTAAAATTCATTTAAAACCCAAATCAATATTAATTAATTAAAATAATATCAAAACTAAATACAAAATGTTTGAATCAAATTAATTAGATATTATTTATAATTAGATATTATTTAAATTAATTGTAAATTATTTTTTTTAATTAAAAAATATTAAATTCTAAAATTCTAAAAAATTTCGGTTAATTCGAAAATTAACCGAATTAACCGAAATTTATTCGGTTCGGTTAATTTTTTAAAAAAAAAGTTCGGTTCGATTAACGGTTAAAGAAATAAAAATTCGGTTAATTCGAAAATGGTAGTTCGATCGGTTCGGCCACCGAATTAATCGAATAAACACCCTAATTCAAACTCAGCTTAACTTAATTACACCTAACGGTACAAATGTTATAAATGATTATATTAATTATTTGAAAAATATATTTAAGACGTAATAACAACACTAGATTATGTTACCAAAAGGAAATTTTATTATAATTTAAATTGGATATTTGTTAACACTACAATAATAGCAGCATAACATAATGGTAATGGTAGTGACCATTCATAAAATTTTAAAATCCAACCAATTCTGGTAATGGTTCAAAATTACCGGGAATCTCGTCACCTTTGGCTTAAAAAACTCACTTTCTCCTATTCTTCTTTTATTAAACCCACTGACATTCCTCCTACCCTTCTTCTCCCCTTTAAGAGCATTAGCTTCCCATTTCTCTTTCTCTTACACTTCCTTCTTCACTTTCAAACCACCAAAGTTTCTACCTTTTTAAACCCTCGATTTCTTACAACAAAACCAACAAGAAAACATGGTGTTCCGTGAAGGTGGCTTCTCTTCTTCTCGAAACGATGTTTTTCCTGCCGGTCTCCGGGTTCTTGTCGTCGATGACGATCCTACCTGGTTGAAAATCCTCGAAAAGATGCTCAAGAAGTGTTCTTATGAAGGTTACTCATCGTTTTCTTCAAACTTTTATCGTTAAACAAACTTTACTTTGTGTTTACTGATACATGGGGTTGCTTCATTTTTCTGCACTGTTCATTGGGTTTTGCTTTCTTCTTCCGTATGATAAACTGTTCGGTTTTCAACTTCTTTTCGCTTTATTTGGTAGGTTTAAGAGTTTGGACATTGCTGGTTGTGTTGTTGATGAATAGATTTTGCATCTAATAACAAAATTTGTTCTGCAAATATCAATTAGATGATGTTGTTCTACCTAGCACTGAGTCCCTCTCCCTGTCGTTTGTCGCCTTTTTTTCGCATTTCGTCTTTCTAGTTGGTAATTATCAGTGAACTAGGAACATACATGAATGGAAGAGATCATGGCTAGATTGATTGATTGATCATGAAGTTCAAGAAATTTGTTAGACACCCTGTAGTTTATGACATGATCATATGACTTCTGGTTAGAATTAGGAATGCGTGAGACATTTCTATGGTATCCTAAACATTCTTTCATGGTACTTTCCCATGTTCCAGTGACTACGTGTGGCCTCGCACGAGACGCTCTGAGCTTGCTTCGCGAACGGAAGGACGGTTACGACATTGTAATCAGCGATGTTAACATGCCGGACATGGACGGCTTTAAACTTCTTGAACACGTCGGATTGGAAATGGACTTACCTGTCATTAGTCAGTTCTCTACCGTAACACACAAACCTTTGTTTTAAACGTTATTCGCTCCGTTTTTGTTCTTGGATTTAATAGGATCGAGTTCTTACGAGCTCCATTTATGTAAAACATTGCAGTGATGTCGGTCGACGGGGAGACGAGCAGAGTGATGAAAGGTGTCCAGCATGGTGCTTGTGATTACCTTCTCAAGCCAATAAGAATGAAAGAGCTACGCAATATATGGCAGCATGTGTTCAGAAAGAAGATAAATGAGGAGCGAGACATTGAAAGTCTTGAATGTATTGAAAATCTTCAGATGACTAGAAATGGCTGTGATCTGTTCAACGACGGGCACTTCCTCGGTGGAGATGATATGACATCGGGAAGGAAAAGAAAAGATGGTGATAACAAGTATGAAGACCGAGACCTTATCGATACTTCTTCTACCAAGAAAGCAAGAGTTGTTTGGACAGTAGACCTTCACCAAAAATTTGTCAAAGCGGTAAATCAGATCGGATTTGATAGTAAGTATACTTTCAAGCTCTCTTGATCATCATCAAGATGTAGCAATATATCTCTTTCAGTGATATGGCTATGGTTTTTGATCATGAACGCATCGTGTTCACGATGTTGTTTATTGTCTGTTTGACAGAAGTTGGTCCTAAGAAAATACTCGACCTGATGAATGTATCATGGTTGACAAGAGAAAAAGTCGCCAGTCACTTGCAGGTAACAGCAAAACAACTGTTAATGAACATTTTGTTATATAATTTCGGTATAAAAGAAGGGTTTTTCGGGGAAAAACAATGGATTTTCAATGTTCTTAAGCTCTGCAAATATGAAAATGTTCTAAACAGGTTAAAGAAAGAGTCTGAATTGTCAAAAATCTAAGACATTGTTGAGATTCTTATAGAGAAAAACTCTCTTGTGCAGAAGTATCGACTCTATTTGAGCAGGTTGCAGAAGGAGAGTGGCGTCAAGAATTCATTTGTTGGAATGAAACATTCAGATCCTCCTTTGATGATTCGACTGCCAATTTCGGTCTCCATAAACCGATGAACACTATGCCTGATGATGTGCTGAATGGTACCTTTAGTTTTTCCGGGAATAACTTGGTTGCTCGGAGTGTTGATCTCAAAGGTCGAGGTGATCGAACTGGAATTACTTCAGTTCCTATGACAGAGCCAAAAGGAGCTTTGTCTAAAGATATTCCTGATCCTCATAAAACCAAGAGTTCACAGATGAGCTTTGATCATTCCCTTGGATCAATTGATTCAGGTGTAAGCTTTGCATCATTCGGTTCGACCACCCCAGCTTGGTACTCCTGGACCGAAATTCCTGAGATTCAGTCCAAACAAGAGTATGAGCCCTTGAAACCAGAAAATGGCTTCAACCAACTGCCACTGCCTGAACCTTCCATGGTTGCCAAAGAGGTTAACCGAAGAACTGAAGTAGTCGAGCATTTAAGTCCAGCCGACTTAGTTGACTTGTTTCCGGTTCAAACCAAAAGCCAAATGCCAAAGAATCAAGTTTCCAACCCCCTATCTGTTACCAAATCAAGCCTGAAAACTAAGGACATCAGTCAGAACTGCCTCGCTGACTCGGAATTTGCTCAGAGAAACCTGAATGCTGCGGGCATAGGAGTTCCTTTAGCATCATTCTCTGAGGACTTGCAAATTTGCTGGCTTCAAGGTGATGGTTATCCTATTAACTTGGCTCTCCAGGATTTTGATTGTTCCGAGTACAATGATCCAGCACTGATAGCCGAAACTCCATTCTACTTGTACGATGCACCGAGGTTCGACCACGAGCATCTATTTGATCCTACAGAATACTATGCTATCGATCAAGGGTTGTTAACGTAGCTTGAAGTCGTTTTCGGCGAAAATACTATCCTTTTCTTATATCAGGTAATATCTATAAGTGGAGTACTTCAATTGGATGCTATTTTCATAAGCAGTTCGGGCTTGGATGTTGAAAAACATGTGTAATACAAATGGTGATAAAACATTAAACATAATAATTCTACTGCTATAAGTTTTCTGACCTGAGATTTGCATCTGTTAGTGCTGTATTAATATGCCTGTATAAGTGACATGAATGGATATAATATCTTATTTTTGGCTTTTATCTTGTTTTTTTGTATCAAAACTCAAATCTGCGTAATAACTTGGTGTTAGATTTATCATAAACAGCTAACATTATCCAAAGTACATAAAAAAGCCAGAAAAAATTATATGCAGAAAGATAGACAAGGTTCTTCACAAACTTGTACCTATAACTGATGTGGAATTTGCCACTAAAAATGTTACAAACTGCTCTTTGATATCTTTTATCTCCCAAAATCATTATTTTCGGTTTCTATAATTTTTGTTAATAAAAAACTTATAAGGTCTCATCGGCTGCACCCACCGTTGGCTGATCAGCCATTTTCATGCTTGCATGGAATACCCGGTTTGCCAACTGAAAGCTGGATATTGGGGGAAGCATTTTCATGCCTGTTCTTTGGCAATGCGGTCCCCGAGATCCTGCTATTTTTCATTAATCCATTCTTAGAGCTCTCGGTACTAACGGAAGGCCTTGTTGGAGGTCTAGAGTTTGCACTCTGCACCGTCCTGTTGGATGGTTTCCTTCCGAGTTTTGGTGATTGAGGCCGAGTTGAAGGGATCTGCAAGGCGTGAAATTTACTGTCAAATTGACAACACAAAGGCTCATTGAACATCTACTGATCATCAGGAGAAATAAAGTATCATAGACAATGTAACCATGTGTGTGTGTGTAACTGACAATGTAACTTAAGGCTAACTTTAAGTCTATTTCGAAGCATAGAGAACAAAAATTTAAACCCGAGGTTAAGCTGTTCAAGATGATAAACAGGAAATCAGCATAAGTTAAAGCATGATTAATTCCATTGTATCATTGTCAGCATAAAATGAAAGTTACTGGTTAAGAGATAAGAACCTTGTTAGTGTTACTGTGCTGGATCTGTGATCCATGGCATGAATCTTCGTTTGATTTAGCTTCGCGTCCGTCCTTTGCCTTAATTTAGTCATGTCATCCTTCGCTTTCTCCTACACATAATATCAGGCAATAAATCAGTTTGACATGTAAAGCAGCAAATGAGATTATGACCACACAGAGAGATCAAGTATGCGCGTATAACATTATTCTCTTATATCAAATCAGGCAATGCATCTAAAACGATTCTTCAAATAGTTCACATCTTTGAAATTTAGGAGATTCGACTTGGGAACTGCAGGGCTTCGTCGATAACACTTGTGTTAATATCCTAAACAAGGTTGTCTGTTTTGCAGTACCTTCGATTTTATTTGAATTTGTGATTTTTCTGCCTCCTTCGCTTGCATTTTCTCTTCTAGCTTCTTAAAGAACTGGAATTGGCAAGGAAACAGTAAGGTTGGTACAATTTGAAACCATGACAATTATAAAGAATGAGAAAAATGTAATGGTAAGGCTTGCCTCTTTTCGTTTTTCCGCCCTTTCTTCGCTCCTGAAACTAAATGGACACAAACTAGTACAAGATCTTGTACTGGTTCCACTTGCATTCGAAGATCTTGAGCATCTACCACGCATTCAATAAAAAATAGTAATGAGGCATATAAGACAGGCTTCGGTAATTAGGTCAGTGGTACTTGAGTCTATAAAGTAAAATCGGGAAAAAGGAACATACAGAAGCCATTGCACCCCATTAAACAAAGTGCAGCAAATACATTTCAGGAGTGAAGATTACCTTTCATCTAGTGATTGAAGACTTTTGGAACCATTAAATGGACACAAACTAATAGAGGATCTTGTACTGGTTCTACTTGCATTCGAAGATCTCGAGCAGCTGCCACACATTCAATACAAAATAGTAATAAGGTTCAATATAAGACGGTCTTCGGTAATTAGGTCAACGGTATATGAGACTCAGTCTATAAAGTAAAATTGGGAAAAAGGAACATACAAAAGCCATTGCACCTCCATTAAACAACTTGTCAGCAAGACATTTCAGGAGTGAAGATTACCTTTCATCTCGTGATTGAAGAACTTTGGAAGCATGCTTTGACCCCCCATAAACAGATGCCTACAGTTTGTGAATGAAACTCGTTTTAATCACTTGAAAATTCCAAACCACTTGGTGTCTACATCCTAAATATTTAGTACCCTCGAAATGAATTCTAAATAAAAAATGTCAAACCATATTATGATTTTTCATTTGTGAACATTAATATGTTATTTTGTCATCTACTCTTGAATGTGCAAATAGAGCAGCAAATACATACAGCGATAGACAACTTACCCTAGTTGGAGTCTGTAGTGGTGTTGAACTTTCTTTGGATACCTTAGGCGATGTTTTAGTGGCTTCACCAGCACGCCGTGTGAAATCCATCGACATGTGAAGGGATTTTATAGTTATTCTCCTCTGCTCATTTGAGTCTAATGCGGGCTTCTTATTAATATAAGCATGGTTATTTGACTTATTTTCGACTCTAGAAGTTGCTTGTTTGTATACTCCACCATGATCGGATAACTTGGAATTGGAATTTGCTAGTTTATTTTCGCTTGAAGTAGCTAAATTCACTTGATCAGTAGTTTTCTTCAATACCCTAGTTGGCATTTGTGGATGAGTTGCAATATCTCTTGACATTCTTACTGATCTATTAGTTTTACCGGCGCTGGAAGCAAGATTTAATGACATATGGAACAGGTTCGGCATTGTTTTCTTCTTGTCATATGAGTTTCCGATCGACTTAGCAACATCAGCATCATTCCTATCTTGTCCCGAAGCCATTCGTTTAGAAGGAGGTACTGGAGAATTGGATGCTTTACCAGGGAGCAATGACTTTGACAAAGAATTTGTTCTGTTTTTGCTTGAAGAAGTCGAGGTCTTCGGGTCGTCACATTTCTGCAGTGTTCCATAATGAGGACAACATAAATAAAGACTCCGAGAAAAAGGAAGAACAGAACAGAAACTTGTTTAAATAAACATTACCTTCGGGGGAATAGTTGGGGTTGCCACAATTTTGTCATGGATGTCACCGTTTTCGAAAGTCTTTGAATTCTCAACCTGCTGGCATTCCTCCATATTCACATCTTCTTCCATCATTTTCGGACCTTGTTCCATGTCGGCGACATCATTTTCTCTTACAACATTAAGATTGCCTGCATCTACACCGGCATTATCAGCTATCTCATCATCAGAAGCATCCTTCTCCGGTTGATTCACAGCCAATGATGTGCCCAAATCGGCTAAATCCGTATTTATAGTTCCTATTTGAGAGGCATCATTGGTGACAATGTCGGCTTGTTCAAGCAATGCCGCTGCTCTCATTGCAGCTCTTCTCTTGTAATGAGCTTCGAAAAAAGCCTTCATTTGAGCAACGGATCCCGGTTTCGAAAACTTTTCGACTTCTTCCAAGTAACGATTGTGAGAAAATGTCGACCATTTCTCCCATGAAAGCGATTCCGACACAAATCTGCCGAAAGAAATCGATTCTGTAAGAACACGCACCGCGTCATGAATCGGGTCACCCTGTAATTCAAAATTGACCATCAGCTTCATCATGACTCAAACAGAAAGAAGAAGAAAAGAGCCTGAAGATCAAAGATTGATGGGGGAAAAAGCATAATCAGAAATTTGTCTCAGGCAAATCATAGGAATGTCAAGTATGCTATGTTTGGTCATCGAGAGAATGCCGTGAGAGGCCCTTATTTTTTTTGTTTTCCAGATCTTCTACGAGTACCCATTTTCCAATAACCCCACTAACCAAACAAATGACAGAAAAAAAGAAACTGAATCAAGAGAAACCGTTTACGCAAACAAAATGTAAAACAATAATCTTTTTTATAGGTAAAGCTTCAGGCTTTGTTAAAAAGGAAACTAACCTCTTTAACTTCACGAGAAACCTGCAACGGATTAGAAAATGATCTAACGAGACGAGGAGATTCATCCATTCCTCAGAAGAGAAAACCCCAGAGGATTTTTCTTCTGAGTTTCCTTCTCACTTCTCTTTTTGGTTCAGCAGAGTCGCTCACTGTAAGTAAAGCAAAAGAAACGCAGCAAATACAGGCTCCCCCTCTTCGAATCTAGTCGTTGTTGTTTGAAAACAGAAGGCTTTATGGTAATGGGTCCATCTCGATGTCCAGGTTCGCGACTAAAAGATGGGCTTCTACCTGAGATGTGTAAGGAAAGTAAGCTCCTTTTTTTCCCCTTCCTTTCAAAGCTCCGTCTTTTGAAAAATTTGACGGTCATTTAACATTTTTAAAAAACATTAATAATTAATATAATTTAATCATGTATGAAATATTATATTATTTTTACATTTAATATAAATTATAAATTTCACTCTATTTTCACTCTTATTTTAATCATTAAAGTTTAAAAAAATTTAACTTACTTATTGTACTTTTAATTTATTTATATTTCAATCACTTTATCATTAAATACTTAACGATATCATACTAAATAATTTTCTTTTAAAAATTATAAAAAAGTCTCATTTTTTTTAAAATTTTTTACAAAAATATTAATTTTATATTTCTTTTGATTTCTTAATAATAAATATCTTCTTTCAAATTCTAATAACGAAGAGGTAGAGAAAAAGGAAACGAGTAGTATATCTTGCATGTTGATCCGATGGTAAAGATTATATATTTGCATGGTTTGAGGTCTGATGAGTTTTAGATTTTGGGTCGATTTTTATGAGTTTTAACGTAATTTAAAAAAAAACACATTAAAGTTGTTGGAAAAGACACATAAATAAGGATAAACTACATAAATAGTCATCAAACTTTTAAGACACTTGCATCTGATCACTCAATTTTTAAAACTTGCAATACAGTCATTAAACTTTTAGTTTGGTATCAATAAGATCTCTGACTTACCTTTTGTTACTTTTATCTGACATGACACTTTAGGGATCGGAGTAATATCCTCTAGAATAATAGTGTAAGGCTTCGACGATAATATATTAAAACAGTGGGGTATTATTTCTGGCGATTTCTGGAGACGGGATTCGTCTAGCCGGGAAGGCCTAGAGCTCCCTACTTACGGGAGTTTTCACTTATTGACCGGTGACTACCATATTAACTTTGTAAGCTGAAAAGATCCAATTTTTTCATAAAATTTAGGTGAAAGATAGTAAAAGTGAAGAGGAAGACAAATTTGGAAGACCAATATGGAATAAGTGGATTTTATGTTTTGGAAGAAGTCCAACATAAATTTAATGACATTCTTAGCCAAACCATCACTAAAAAGAGTAGAGTTTTGCATCAATTGGAAGAGAAAGCGGTTGAAACTTTGATCTTTCTCTAGACCCCACCTTGTAAGAGAGTGATAAATGTTCTTCATAGATGGTAATAAAAATCTAAACTTTCTTTTTCATCAATATGACATAGAAAGGTTTCATCCACAAAAATGGTAGTGATTTTGGTAGCTAAAAAGTGGGCTAGAACATGGAGCCTGAGTCAACTCTCAGCCTTCAAAACACTGCTAGAGACCTCTCTAAAGATATTGCCGTTCACATGAACAACTAAAGGAAGGAATATCTTTGTGAGATAGTATGAATGACCTCTGCACTTGTTTCATAAAGTTAAAGGGGAAAAAACTACTTGAAAGTACCTTAAAATTCTGAAAAACAATCATGTTTAGCATATTATTGTCGAAACCTTACACTATTATTCATATTATTATCGAAGCCTTATATTGTTATTCTATTTTCTCAGAGGATGTTACTCTGATTCTCATCGACATCACTCGGAGAAAGGGTGATAGAAGAAGAAGAAAGGTTAACAGGAAGTAACGAGTCACGTCAGATAAAACTAACGAGAGATAACGTCAGTGATTTTACTGAAAACGATCTAAAAGTTCAGTGATTGTGTTGCAAGTTCTAAAAGTTTGGTGATCAAAATGCGCTCTAAAAGTTTGGTGATTATTTATGTAGTTTACCCTAAATACGAAAGGGGAAATGTATTGGATTTAGAGAATCTGGAAAGCTTTTATTTATTAAAATACTTAACTTTTGGAAGCCATGAAAGAAAGAATTGGTGGAGCCATAGAAGCAAACAAATAATTAAGGCCCTTAACAAAATAGGTTTTGCAACGGCTGTTGTCTGCAATTATGCGTGAAAATGTGAGGGTACCCCAATACAAAATTTTCCTTTTGCAAGTCAAAACAAAAACTTGGTTCGACTTTCATGGAGATTGGTCAAGTGCTTCCCTTTCAAAAATGTGTTTGGTTAGTGAGAAAAAAAATGAAAGGAAGAGGAAAATATTGGGGGGAGGGACATCTACAAAAGGGAAAATTGAGATGGGAGTGGAAAGACTTGAACTTGAAATTTCTTTTAAGAGGATATAATCACCAAGTTCAATCCTTGATATAATGATATGTCATCGATAACATTTTTTATATAATTTATTTTATTGATAAAAAATAAAGGAAATAAAAATAAGGTCAAAGGGATTCAAACATAGACAATATGTCATAGATCAGGGTCCATTTGGTAATGTTTTCTAAAAGAATTTTTAGTTAAAAAGTTTGTTTTGATCTTAAATCAATTTCAAACGAGTAAAAATGAAAAAATACAGTGTAAACGATAATTTCAAACTATTCTCTACAACCAAGATTTCTAAATTTTTCATTTTCAACTTTGCTTTTAAAAGCAAATTATTATTTTATCCTTACTAATGCATGACTCCACTCAATTATATAGTTATATTTTATTTTAATATTAATATTCTTAAAAAATAATTTATTACTTAATAATTTTTTTTTCAAGTAAATAAAATTCATGGTTTATATATTAAAATATTAATAATGAATTATTATCAAATATATTTTTATTATAGTTTAAGTTGATATATTTTATATATCATAATATTAATAGTTGTAAATATAATTTAAATTATATTTTTTTAATTTATAATATAATGTCTATAATAAATATTCTATCTTTTAAAACTCCATTTTTAATATCAACCTCAAACAATTAAATTTTCATTTTCATTTTTCAAATTCACTTTTAAAAATTCTTTTTTACAGTAATTTTAAAAGCCACTTTCAAAAATAATATCAAAATGGCCCTTACTAGTAAGTCAAGTTCAATACTTGATTATGGTTGATAACATGTTATATTTAGGTTAATTATAGTTAATAGACTATTAATATAATAATATATAATATTACATTCTTATTTTAATAATATATAATAAAGTATTAATATAATTAATTATTTTTAATAAAATAGAGAAAACAATCAACACAAATTAAAGTAGACTAATAATAAAACAAATATTTCTTTTAAACCATTAAAAAGTACAAACTAATAATGAAATTAAGACCATATGTAAAAAGAGAGAAAATTTCATCAAACAACTAAAAAAAATAGAAGATGCAAATAAAACATATTATTAACGATGAAAAATAAACATCAAAGACTACAAAATAACCACTAAACAATGAAAATCTTATTATATATGTAAAGATTTACAAACATTTAATCAAATAACTCAAAAAATAGAAGATACGAATAAACAATAATGTTGACGGTAAAAAATAAGCACTATCAACATTAACATAAAAGTGAATATAACAATTATGGTACACTGACAATTAATTCAATCACAACTCATGTGTGACCCGTCTAAAATAATTAAGAGCATTTATTGATATTAGAGCACAAGTTTAAGAGTCTAAATCTTGGATAAATCAACAAGATAATCAAACAAATATCTATTGGAGAGGTGACGTCAAATCTAATCTTAAAAAATTATGTTACAAAATCATAGAAACCGTGCTATAAAAGTAAGAAAATGCATCGATCAACTTTATTAGAAAAAGAGAAGACTTATTGAATAAAATAATATAAAATTTAAAGGTTTAATTATAAAATAAGTACCTAAACTATGTCATTTTTCTCAAACAGGTGTCTTAATTTTTTTTTGATCTATCTATATGCCTAATGTAAAGACTTATTGAATAAAATAATATAAAATTTCTCCGTTAGATGACACTTCTTGTGTTAAGTTAATTTTAAAAAATTTATTCAAAATAAAAAATCATAAAATTATATATATATATATATATATATATATATATATATTAAAAAAACCCTAAATTCCAAAAAAAACCCCATCAAACTTTGAAAAAAATTAAATCTAATTCTTATTTCCACGTCGTCGTCACCCTTTACCATAAAAGGGGTTTAATTTAGGTGACAATGATTAGGTTTTGGTGTTTGGAGAACGACGATGACAATGGGCGCTACTTCGATGGATGGGTGATTGGTTGGCGGTGGCAGCAATGGTGGTGATGGCAACATAGAGAAATAAGGGTTAAGAATTTGGGAATGTTTTTAAGGATATGGAATTTTTTTGAAAATTTACAAAAAATTAAGGGTTTTTTATAAAAATAATAATTTTTTTAATTTTTTAATTCAAATCATTTTTTAAAATTTTATAAAGGCGACACATGTCTTTTAACGATAAAATTTAATGACCATTACGATTTGGACACTTAAAGTGACAACGTTTATAATATTAAACACATGGATAAATCGGAAAAAAAAATTAGACACCTATTTAAAAAATGTAGTATACATAATTTAGACATCTATTTTTTAATTAAGTCAAATTTAAATATACAAAAAGAAAATTAATTAATTAATTGATTGATTCTTTCACTCAAGATTTGGTAGAGGACGTGCATCATGCATGTGTAGCCCAATAAAATCAAATATAATTGTGAAAGATGTGATATCAAAATTCGATCACATTTGTCATGGTATTGAAAGCAAAAATACGGAAAATTCAAGTATGCAAAACAAAATTGTTTTCCCATTATAAATACATAAATGATTAAGCCATCTTCCCCAACCCCTCACGAACTTCGTCATCACCGACCCTCCTCGATCGATCAAGAAGTAGCGCCGGTTTATAACCATCTGGTCTTGTTCTACCCGACCAAATCCAATGTCCAAACCAACAACATCAACATCCCCGATCTCCACCACTTTAAACTGTCCGTATCCCAAGCACTAACCCACTTCTATCCACTAGCGGGACGCATTAGAAACAACTGAAGGAGTTCCTTTAAAGGAGCCGAAGTCAAGTGCCGACCATCCCGTCCCCGAAGAACTCAACAAGTTGTTCCCTTTTCCTCTCGATGATGCTGCGGAATTGCCGATGGGAATCCAGTTCAACGTTTTCGTCTGCGGTGGAATCGGAATCGGTTTGTGTGTTTCTCACAGGATGGGCGACGCGTCGTCGTATTTCACGTTTTTGAATACATGGGCAGCAATTTCTCGCGGGGATGATAAGGACGTAGTTAAACCCGAGTTCGTATCGGATAAGCTTTTTCCGGCATGGAACTTGTCGGCTCCTGAACCATTGTTGGCACCAACAAGTGAAAAGAACGTAGCCACAAAGAGGGCGGTGTTTGCTTCGTCTAAAATATAGCAAATCAGAGCAAAATATCCAGCTGAAAATGGAATCCACCCTTCACATATTGAGGCCTTATCAGCTTTCATATGGACTCGTTTCATCGCTTCCACTAAAGAAAACCCTTTACGCACAAGATTTGAGCCGCCGCTTTCAGCTCAGTCTCTTGGGAATATTTTCCACCTTGCAAGAATAATTCCTTCAATGGAAAAAGAAAAAGACGATGGATCGTATAATCTGGTCAGCCAAATGAGAGAATCCATTAGAAGAATCGACAAAGATTACGTGAGGAAGCTTCAGGTTGGTGAAAGTGGTTCCTTTAAGGGAAAGACGATCCCCTTTATCTTCACTAATTTATGCAGGTTTCCACCGTACGAAGCTGATTTTGGTTGGGGAAAACCAGTATGGGTAAGTTCTGCAAATTTGAGCACCAAGGATGTGGTTGTTTTTATGGATTCTGCAAATGGTGATGGAATAGAAGCTTGGATTCATCTCAAGGACGGAGACATGGTTGAATTTGGAAGCGATGAAGAATTACTTAAAACAGTTTAAAATCTGTTAAAATATAATGACAACTTTTTAAAGAAATCATTGGTACTTGTAATATCTTCTAAACTTTCAAGGGTTTGATTGATGATGTGCATGCATGCATCCACACATACATACATAAGATAAAATAGTATTAAGCTCCAATCAAACCCATCCAAATCTATGAATATTTGTATTAACAAAAACACACCAAGAGAAGTTTCAATTTGAAAACGAAGATAAGCTTATAGATTATTCATAAATGTAAGAAATGCCAAGGTACAATTAAAACCAACATTAAAAACATAAATTACCTGCGACTGTAAATTGGTTTGTATGATTCTCGAAAATATCGAACAAGAGCTAAAAAGTAGAGAGAACAGCTACTAACTTCTATTTGCTTTGTATGAGTAACCACAAATGTTGGACTTCAATGCCACAGACGGTCGGGAACCAGCCGGGCAACTCCAGATCTTCGGTGCAAAACAATGGCTTGGCATCGAGTATCCAACTTCTCTAAGCATTTGAACCGTCTTGTGGCAGCGGCAGCAACAATGAAAGATATCAACACTGGACTAGTGTCAGGGTCAATCCGCGATGGTGTTTCGAAGGGTTAAACATGAGGTACAAGAACCGGTTCACCATTACTGGCTTTTAATTTGGCGATCTCTTCTATGCGCTTCCAGGTGGCTTCGTGTTTCATTTCGGTCTCTTCCAGCTTTTCTTTATCTTCTTGAAACTTGTTCAAGCATTCCTCGAATAGTTCGGGATCAGTATCGGAAAAGATCTTTCGAACATTAAGCGTCAAGCTCTGGACAACCTGATTCCAATGGTTATGCCCATTTTGCTCCAAGGCAGGGAAAATAATGGGCAGTATAACTCTGCGGTTCTGTCTGATTAAGTTCTCGATATGATCATTATTCCAAAAGTACAAAGCCCTCTCTGCTACCTGTAAGAGCAAGCATCAAATTCAGCAATCTGAAATTCCCCGGGGGGGGGGGGAACTAGAATTTACACAAAACTAAACCAACCAAATTCCTGTATATGAAGTGAAATAATATGGAAAGCGGCATGCATTCGAACAGTTGTTCTTACAAGGTAACACCATAATTTAGGAGTCGTAGTCAAAGAAATGTATTATCATATGCATTGAACAAGCCACTCAACAATGATAGACAATACGTTACGGTTACGATTCATTTCAGCACGCATATAAGTGTTCCATTGCATACTAAACAGATGCATACAGCTTGGCCATCGAAGCCAACTCCAAAATGCCCTAAAAGAAAATGTAGCCTTCGAGTGTCGGTTGGCCAAAAATTTATACAAGAAAATTACACACACGTGTGTGTGTTTCTACGAACTGGTTAAGCCTAGTAATGTTAGTACGTAATCCCACAAAAATGCATATCCTTCCTGCCAAATGAAAAGTAATTATCCCTTGAACTAAAACCACTAAAGCCTCGGTGGTACAAAATCAAATTTACACTTTCTTACAAGCCTAAGAAATTTGACCTATATCGTCGAAACGGTTTAGTGTTAAACATGTGTATACCTATGTTTCAAAAATTTGGAACAATTTCCATGTTTTTGGAGAGATTTTGGTGGATCACATCCCTATACCTCTGTCTGGATATGAGTCAGATACAGGCGTCGGACATTTTGCCTCGAGAAAAATTAAGAGTTGGAGCAACATAAGATTTGGTTCTCGTAAGCTCAAGCATATAGATAGTTTACAATGGATAGCAACAAAGCAAGATCTAATTTGCTAAGGTATAGCCAATACTCTTAATCATCTCATTTGGGAGTAATTGAAACAAATATAGTTGAAACGGCTGACACAAATCACTATCAAAAGAAAGCAGAAACCCGTGTTTGAATGAAAGATAATCATGGAAGACCATTGTTGCGAACATAAAGTAAAAGAGTAACAGTAAATAACTACCCTTTCATCTAATTTATTCAAATAAAAGAGTGTTTTCCAGCAGATTAGAGCTGGTCAGATGAAACGATCAACAACGGGACTTCACACAATAGGAAATGAAGAGAGATTTGAAAAGTTGAAAGCTATTACCTGAAAGTGTGAACTGCTCAAGCATCGAGCGATTTTGTGGAACAACGGTACCATACATCTCTGAAATTCAGCAGGCTGAGTAGCTTCCAAAATTTCTTCCAGCTCACTAAGGAACATGACTTCCTTTGAACTATTAGTAATTGGCCAGTACTTCAATAATCCCCTTATAACAGTGTCAACTAATTTGCAGTCTTTCTCGACAAACTGCGTGATGCAGTACGACAACTGCTGGTGGTACATCGGCAAGCATTTTGGTTTGTGAAGGGGTATTAGCGCCCGTACAAGGAACAGCTTGTGTTCTTCTTTGAGTGGCAGGGCAAACCCATTGATTATACTTCCCAAAACCTCCAAAAGCTCGGCTATCCCATTATTCTTCTCCGTTTCAAAAATGAAACGGAAGAAAATGTTGTTAATAGTTTTCCTGATAAATGGACGATGTACCATAAACTTGCCATAGATACGATGCAGAATTGTTTTTAGATACTCCCTCTCCCTTGGATCTTCAGAATTAAACAGATCCAGTAATTTAAGAACAAAAGAATGGTCAACGTATCTCTTGGCCAACTTCGCATCAGTCTCGGAGATACCACAAATCTCAGAAGGAATTCGTATACAAATTGCAAGTGAGGCCATGCAGGGTCCACCGATGGTTCTTCCTCTTCCAAATCAAAAGCTTCTAGCACCTTGCTTTCACGAGGCTGTGGAGTAAGGGGACGAAACAAGTTGACAGACACCATCTTTACAGCTTCTTGCATGACGGATTCAGCAAACTTTCCATTTGCGGAGCTAACATAATCGACAAGCTCAAGTAACGTCTGCCTCTTGATGTCCTTCTCTTTCAAGTTCTTCATCGGGTCCGAGAAATCAAACACGACGCAACACAAACTCAGTTTTCTAAGAAACAAGGTTTGCTTCTCGGAGCTAGGAACATCCTTAAATCCCGGTAGAGCTTCATATGGTGCAGTCCCCAAGTTCCCATTAAGTTTTGATCGACAACTTGGGCGAGTCGACTCCCATGGTTATATCCGAAAGTAGAAGTAGAATTAGGGCCAGTAAGAGGAGCATTGTCGATCAGCAACCTATGATTACCCACAATATCACTGGTTCTCGAGTGGGAGGGATTACTCAAAGGAGAAGCAGATGAACCTCCAAATTCACGATTCTCGGACGACTTAGATGGCTTTCGAGGAAGCCTGCCTAATATCTGCTTGATCATATCTTAAAACAAAAGACACAATGAACCAAGTTTCCTTTACAGCATAACCTAATCCACTAAAAGAAGAGAACAACTCCAAAACCAGGGCACAAAAACTCTATAAACTACCCAGAACTAGAAACCTCTATCAGGATAAAAATTTGAGAAACCCCTAGAGCATCTATCAAAGCAAAAACTCTTGCTTTTATCAATCATCCTATACCAAAATTTGACAACTTTCTTTACCCGATACAACAATAAAACAGAAAGATAACACCTTTTGACTTAACTTCAGCAGGAAATTAAAGGAAAAATACACTCAAAACTGGAAGCAAAACTACAAACTTCAATAATGGAAAAACTCCAGGTTTCTATATAGGTCCATTTTACTTCTTCTCCAAATCAGCAGCCAAAGTCAGTTGAGTCAAATGATTACAGGATCTGGATTTTATGGGGGGGGGGGGAAACATCAAACCAGCATTAATCATAGAAACTATGAAAGCAAATACATATACATATAGGAGCTATAAAAAAGTGATGAACTAAAACAGAAGATTATAACAGGAACAACAACATAAAGCAAAAACAACATAGAAAATAAAAGTAGAGCCAGAAGAGAGGAGAGCCCTTCAAACTTACAGAAAGGTGATAATTTGAAACAGAAGTTGAACACAAGAAAGCAAAGGCTTTAGATTTCCCTCTTTTTAAAACTCTCTTTCTCCTTCTGAATTTACTATGAGCCAAGGGATAAAAAAGAGGAAGAGAGAGAGAGGAGCAAAGTGAACAAAAAAGCAGCCCCTTTGATACACGAACCTTACTGGCTTACCGCTTATTCACACCCCGTAAATGGAACATCTGAGAACATTTAAAAATAAAAATAAAAATTGACAAAAGGAAATAAGTCCATGTACCCTATCAATTATCAAGTAGTACTGATAATTTGGGTAATTAAGCATTCATTTCATAGCAAATTTATAACTTTTTTCTCTTTTCTTATTTGTTTAACATAATCTATTAACTTTCGAGGAAAAATGGGTTACTTTCGGATCTTGAAAATTTTCATGAAAACAGAAAACATTGAATTATTTTTGATACGTTGCTTCTCTTTCTACATATGTACAGTTTAGGATAAAACCAAAACGTAAATGGGAACATAAATTCTTACAAAATACAAAGCATATCGGTTTAGGGAATCATTTGACTTCGTTTATTTTAAGCTGTCTTGAATGAAGCTAACGAAGTTATTTAAATGGCGTATACATAAAACAATAATCGAATTCTTTTTTAAGGGTTGGAGAAAAAAACCAAAGTCTCCAACCAAAATATAACAATTTGGTTAATTTATATTACCGACCAACTTGCAAAAGGGTGACATGCAGTTATGGAAATTAGATATGATGTCTAATTAATTCAAGTCCATTAGGAGTTGAAAATATGACCATTAATGCAAAATAATAATAAAAGCTGTTGACAATTCTTAGGATTCACATAAGAATAAACGACAAATAGTAGCGGATGTGTACAATTTCTTGGTAGTAATTGAATACCCATTTTGTTTTTTGTTTTTTTAACTAAGTTACCCTTTCTATTTCTAAGACTTTTTCTTGGTTAATTCAAATCGATCCGGGTTGTTTATCTAGAGCGATGATCTTTTGCATACAAAAGGATTGAAGTCGAGATTTGCTTAAATGATATCAAATTGTTTACTACTTGAACCAACCTCCATTGGTACATGATTATTATTTTAATTTATAA